GTGGCATCAGTTTCCAGCTTTATTGTAGCTCATACATTATTGAATTAAAAAGTCCAAATAACCAGATGAAATTTTCTTTTCATGTTTTCTTTTATTTTTATCAGCTCCCAAGTCCTCTTCACTCACCTCGTACTTCTGTAAGATGAATTTTGTTCCTCACAGGAGAAATTCGGCGCTCTCCCTTGTGCGTTCCTGACTGATTGATGATTGGTCTGCTACCTTGAACCAGCCCATTTATACGTGCGCTTTCACAGATTCATGATCAGTTCAAGCTGAATTGAGTGTTTTGGCATTGTTGCGGATTGGTTAACTAGATAGAATGGAGCTAAACCTGCGAGGACCTGATCCAGCACTAAAATGATGGTATTGATATCGGCGAGTACCAACAAATAGGGCACTGATACCATTTTGAGAGCCAAAAATTTATTCAACTATTTTCACCCATTCCAGGTAGGCAATAAAAAGTTCTACTGGATTCACTTTGTATTAGTCTTTTTCCTGCTTCACAAAGGTAGGCAGCAGATGGTATCTGTATGGTATTGGTATCAGCCGATACCGCACAGCCAGGTATTGGTATCTAGGCCAAAAGATGTCATCGGCGAAACCAATATAAAGGGATGTAATTTTGAAACAGCAGAACAACCTTTTTTGGACAATTCTCCAAATAACCATCCACATTGAAATAATCAATTTTGCCCATATCTAAAGCTTAATGCAAAGAAAAAACTGCGCTAGATGTTATTTGTGAATTACTTTAGTCTACACTGTATAACACTGATGGCATATACTGAACTTTTAATGCTTTCTTACTCAATCAATAGATATGCTAAAATAATTGGAATTATCCTTTTTTTTGGCTCTGACTTATTTATTTTTAAACAAGAAGGCCAATGGTAGAGGTACTTAATCATAGGAAACTGCTTGAAAAAACAACAACTCGTTACTCTTAAGTTACTGGTAATGAGGGGAAAATGACGACAGGTGTTACTGCCTTAGATCCTCCTAATGACTTTTCCTCATTAGAGTGAAATGGAAGCAACTTCCCCTCAGCTGGCTGGTAGAGAGGAACTGTGTAATCATGCAGCCCCATATATGGATACTGGCTGTTACAGAGTATGTGTTCACTAGAGGTGAAGCATATTTATAGTAGCTGGACAGAAGAATCCACTCGTATACATGGCTAAGACTGCCCTACTGTGACAGAAACACGTTCAGTTAGTTAACTTGTCTGTTTTGTTTTGCTTTGCAGATTTTTTTTTCTGCTGTCACTGGTTTGTGCCATTGAATCCTTCTCTACATTACATTGAACCTAAACGTGATGTGTTCAGTTTAGTTCAGTCACAGGTAGGGCTGGACAATAATTCAACATCCAAACGTATATATATCTTGATATGATTTTATTCAGTGAAGTTGATATGACATTTGAATACAATTTTGGTATTTTGATGTACGCTGCAGTCTTTGGTTAAGTTTGTCACTGATTGACGTTCTGGGAGCAGGTGAATCAAGACCAACAACAAGAGCCTCATCAGATTGGCTATGTCACCAATGACGTTCACCTGTCTGGGGGCCATTGTCTGCTACTTAGATAGAGGCTATGTTCCCACTGCAGCCTGAAGTGACCAAGTCAGATTTTTTTGCCCATATACGACCCGGATCCGATCTTTTTATGACAGTCTGAACAACACAGAACCAAATTTTTTCCAATGCAACCCAGGCCACTTGGCTATGTGGTCCTGAATTTGATACGAATCTGATCTTTTCCAATGCGACCTGTGTGTGAACGGCCAGGTCGGATTCAATCGACCTAAACATCATTAATACCCGACATAGGTCACTGTTCTGCTTCTTGCTACGCAGAAGCGGCAAGAAAAACAACAACCATAGCCGATGATAATGCGGTGAGCAGTATTTATGTTTAACCATATTGAAAAGATTGAGTTTTTATGGTTGGAAAGACCGCTAGATGTGCGCCGGCACTACCATCCATGTTTACTTCTGTAAACATAGAGCAACTTCATCTTCTCCACGTTCAGGATCAGGCTGTTATCCTTGCACCAGTCCACCAGCTGCTCCACCTCCTCTTTGTAGTCCTGGTCGTTGTTGTCTCTGATGAGGCCCAGCACCGTGGCTGTGTCTTCAGAGTGAACAGGTGTAATATCACGATTATGTTTTTGGACGACTTGTACCCATCAGAAGTCGTCCTGACTTTAGCACCTGATGAATAAGAAATAGATTTTAGCTGCAGACCGTCTAGAAAGCAATTTGCTTATAAAGTATGAACTGGTCGCACAGCTTCACTTACTCAGGGTATAAGAGCTAAGTGCAGATTTTAAATGAGAGGCAAGCATGAGCTTATCACCACTGACTGTCACATTACGGGGTGTGTGAATTGTTTAATTCTGTTTTATCTGGACTGATCCTTGCAGAGTTTTGGTAACAACATTAGTAGTTTTGTCAACAGTCACTGTTCCCAGGTTTAAAGAAATAAAAAAATATAGGTTTGGGATCTGTTTTTAACTTTACTGAAGCTGAGAAACTGAGCTTCAGTAAAGAGACGAGACTTTTTCCTAGAAAAACAGCCAAGCCTAGAGGGGGGAATGATGCTGCTCATAGTGTCAACAAGGATTTATCAAAAGTTAGATTTTTGAGTATTATTGGGCAGCTTTAGTCAGTATTTTTAAACCTACTTATGAGTCATTTCCCTCTGTGAACATGGTCTTTCAGGCTTAGGTGGGTTTTTCTTCTTGAACATATTAAAGTTAATCACAAAAAATGAGCCAATGACGCTGGAAGAACTAGAAAGGCTTGGAGGAGGAAGAGATGATGTTTGTGACAGAATGTTTTTTATTGTTTCGATTTCTTTTTTTTTTTTTTTTTTTTTACAATTTCTTAAATGTTAAGTTAGAGTTTCTTGGACATTGCATTATAACATTCAGGACTCAGTGCAGGATTCTTTTGTGGGATTTCTTGGCATTTATACTGTTTAGAGGTTGTTGTATACGTTTTGAACATATTGTCCAGCTCTAGTCAAAGATGTATTTTCGTCTGGATTTACATAATTTCTCAAATTTTTTGAGCCAATGGAAACCTTTTTCCAAACCATAGATGCACTGTGTGGCGTATGCTCAGCTCAACAAGTTCAATGACTTTCTCGATTTACTCCATCTTATTATAACCTGTCATAAGCCAGACTGATACTTGTAGTTCAATCTTGAAAGCCTCCTGTAGAAAGTGTATGCAAAAGGCAGGTAAATTCGGTTCAATTCCTCCAGCTGATTTGGTATCTGCCTCTCATTGTGAGCTTTGAGCTAATAACAGCAGCATTAGAGGCTGTGATGTATCACATTCGTGATTTGTTTCACAACCGGTGGAATTAACTGATCAATCAAACTCTTACCAAATCCGGTCGGGAGTAATGTGCAAACATCTTTCCCATCCACAAAGGTAAGAAATTAGCCTAGTAAACTGGCCCCACCTGCCAGAGGCCAAAATAATTTTTGCCTGCGAGTGGTCTAGCCTTGATGAATGTCCCAGGTACTAGAACTGGCAGGCCAATCTCAACGCAGAGATGTGTTTTGAATTTTTGGATGCAAGGCGGGCAGAGTTTGGAGGGCTTGACAAAAAAGCTGTGTGACACTGGAAAAAGCACAACAAGCAAGATGGCAACAACTATTGAACAGTTCTCATTTGACTCCGATTTGGAATCAGATTTGGAAGGATTAGACTTGGGGTTTTCGTTGAAACGTGAGCCGGAAGAGGCTCTATGCTCATTCATTTTTAAGAAGGACTTATTCGCCGTTTTACTGACAGGCTGTTTGTTTGCACTCCCCCACCAGCTTTCTGTCACGCTTACTACGTCACAGTCAGTTGCGCTCATTGGTCAGAGCGTTAGCCAATAGGCACAGACATGGTTTGAAAGACAACAGGTTGTTCTTGTTGGGTTTAAATCCAGAGAAATGTGAGTTTAAAAGTTTAAGAGGACGAAATGATCAAACACAGACAGTGATTTGTAACCTCAGCCTCTGCACAGGGGAGAGAAGCTGCTGGCTCACAACCAGCACTTTTTCTTACAGATCCCTTCACAGCAAAGCCTTTTATTAAAAGTTTACTACATAATAGGGCAGGTCTTAAACAGAAAACCCAGTAATGATTATCTGGCAGGATGCAGGTCATAAGACAGTGTGAAATGACCATCTGGCTGGATGGAAGTCACACAACCGTGTGACTCTGCCTCATGACCTACTGGATGCAGGTCATAAACATTTATGACCCCCCTGATTGAATCACAGGACAGAAATGTAGCATAGTTTTTCTTAAATGTTTCATATGCCCACACAATAATTTTATAATTATCATTCAATAACTCTAACAGTTCTCATCAACAATCTTCCGATGTCTCATTCATCGGGGCCAGACTAAATTACACATTTAATCTCCCATTTAGTCTGGTTTATCAGGCTAGTAAAAATGCATGTTTTAAAAAAAAGAAACACAAGGTATTCCAGCTTAACCCAGTGCAGCCATTTTTGTTTTGCTGTCTTTCAACTATCGAGTTCTGGTAAGATGTATTTTCGGGAGTTTGTGAGTTCACATATCCTCTGATAATTCTCTTTGCTTCCAAATTTTGGCTTTAGTGACATTGGCAGATTGAATTAAGCTGTTGTCCTCGTGTGGATATGCAGTCGCATGAACAGCAGTGGGCCCAGCACACAGCCTTCATGGGTATCATTAGTTAACATAAGGACATTAGAAATATTCTTTTCAGTCCCTGCCCGCAGTGTTCTTGGTAAGGAGTTTTCAAAATTTATAAAGTTGACTGTGTTCTGCCTAATTAGATAACATGTCATAATTCATCATAATATAATGCTTATCTAAAAATCAATGTACGATTCACTTATATATGTCTTTACTTTTGAGATGTGTTTTGCATCTAATTTCAGGTAATAAAGTGTGTCTTTCCTTCATGCATTTATTCCTTTTTTTGGTGTGTTTTGCAGGTAAATGTACGCGTCACCACCATGGATGCTGAGCTGGAGTTTGCCATCCAGCCAAACACGACAGGAAAACAGCTCTTTGACCAGGTAACCGTGTTTTCCCTTTTACTTTTCCTTAAACATTCATGTAAAACCATCTACTTTTGATATAACACATTCCAAAACTGTACATATTAATTGAATTATACCTTTTATTTCTTTATAAGTTTAACCAAAAGGAAACGTGACAGCTCAGTCAAATCCACATATTCATCAGTCCTTCTCATCATGTTGCTTCCCACTAAGGGTGGGCGATACAGACTTTTAGTCTTATGATTATTTGTGGCTCTGTCGTGATTGCAATACAAGGGATGATAAACTTTTTATTACTTGCATACTGCAATGCTGCTCTTAAATGAATGTTACTTTATTCGATAAGTGATATGAATTTTAAGAGCATTTCCGGTGTTTTGATAAATGCTACAGTTTATGACGGCAGAATTTGCAACACATTGCAATACATTGGCTACATGAGCAATGACTATGTTAAGATGATTTTGGAACTGCTTCATTTTTGATGCTTTACACATTAAGGTTGCGCGTCATGAGCATCCTTGATGATTCTGAAGCGCGTCCAGTAAAATGTGTCCAGATGTGTCTGATGCTTCTGCTGCTCCTGTGTCCAATGACAGAGAGCGACTTTGCTATATTTGCTGTTATAAGTGGGTAAAAATTACTTCCTTTTGCTGCCACTTTATGCACGTCAACCATAGGGGTGTAAATAATAATTGTTTAGTACCGATCCAACAACCGACGATCCGATGCATTGACACGCCGCAAGAGTATCGATTCATGTTTTTTTTCTTCCCCTCTGGTCTATTTTTATCCATTTGCTCCTGGATGTAATTCTGACTCCTGTGCTGCGGTGGTGCTAGACCTATTTTGCCTTCCTACCTCGCTTCCTGATTATACTCCTGCAGCAGTGTGTCGCAGTGAGCTTGACACAGACATTTTTGATTTATGACCAATATTGAAGCGTGGGCTGTGCTATACGCTGTGGGTCTAGATACAACCGAGGCGGGAGGAAGTGGGGGCGAGTAGTCCGACAACGGAGAGACATGAGGGTGACAAATAGCGGGGATCCAGGTGGAAAACGGCTCCCAGCGTTCTCACGCACCTCGCTCTTCTAGCTGGTCCAACTTCACGAGTTGCTTCCACAATTTCAGTCATAAAAACAAAATAAGCCGGCCTCCTGTCTGCGGCACTGAGGTGCATCAGAGTGAATCGAATCACCATGATGGGTGTGATTTACGCCCCTAGTCAACCATTGACTTTGCATGTAAACCAGCTGCTTTGCCTGCGGTCTGAACTTAGCAGGAGAAGCGTTACTTGTGTTCTCAGTGTTTGCTTTTCCCAGTTAAACAGACGACAAAAAATGGGCTGGGATATGTTTTGTTGAGAGAAAAAAGCAAAATACACCAAAGATTTGTATACAAACTGAACAACAGCTTTGACATGAGTGAGAGATGGAGAGAAATCTTTACAGAAAGGGTTTAAAATGAAAATCTCAAAGTGTTGCTTAGTGCCAACAAGGGTTTGTCAGAAGTGCGACCATTCAGAAATATCCCGGGTTCCTACTTTACACTTTCAGAGCTATTCTGACCTTTTTTTTTTTGCTAATTTATTATAATGGTTGGTAAACATACCTTTCAGGCTTAAGTTTGTTTGTGCTCTTAAAATTATGAAAGTTAATCTGCCTGAGCAAATTCTCAAAACAACTGTTAACATCTTTATGAAATATAATCATAAAAATGAAGGACAGGAACTTTTAAAGAAGCCAAAACCCTTGGACTGAAATATGAGGAGGGAGAGGTGATTAAATGGTTAAACATACTGTACATTTAATCTTTTGAGCTTGTAGCTGCAATTAAAAATGAGTAGAATTGCTATTTTTTATCATTATTTATAGGGATGCAAGATATTGGGATTTTGGCCGATATCCGATATGCCGATATTTTAAAACTCATGTAGCCGATAACTGATATCGATACCAATGTTAAAGCTGGACAAAAATAAGTAGCCATTGAAAATAGCAGTTCTGTTATCCATTTCTGACACTTTGAAAAATAATATACTCAAATATACACTCACCTGCCACTTTATTAGGTACACTTGTCCAACTGCTCGTTAACACTTAATTTCTAAGCAGCCAATCACATGACGACAACTCAGTGCATTTAGGCATGTAGACATGGTCGAGACAATCTCCTGCAGTTCAAACGGAGCATCAGTATGGGGAAGAAAGGTGATTTGAGTGACTTTGAAGGTGGCATGATTGTTGGTGCCAGAAGGGCTGGTCTGAGTATTTCAGAAACTGCTGATCTACTGGGATTTTCACGCACAACCATCTCTAGGGTTTACAGTGAATGGTCCGAAAAAGAAAAAACATCCAGTGAGCGGCAGTTCTGTGGGTGGAAATGCCTTGTTGATGCCAGAGGTCAGAGGAGAATGGCCAGACTGGTTCGAGCTGATCGAAGGGCAACAGTGACTCAAATAACCACCCGTTACAACCAAGGTGGGCAGAAGAGCCTCTCTGAATGCACAGTACGTCGAACTTTGAGGCAGATGGGCTACAGCAGCAGAAGACCACACCGGGTGCCACTCCTTTCAGCTAAGAACAGGAAACCGAGGCTACAATTTGCACAAGCTCATGGAAATTGGACAATAGAAGATTGGAAAAACGTTGCCTGGTCTGATGAGTCTCGATTTCTGCTGCGACATTCGGATGGTAGGGTCAGAATTTGGAGTCTACAACATGAAAGCATGGATCCATCCTGCCTTGTATCAACGGTTCAGGCTGGTGGTGGTGGTGTCATGCTGTGGGGAATATTTTCTTGGCACTCTTTGGGCCCCTTGGTACCAATTGAGCATCGTTGCAACGCCACAGCCTACCTGAGTATTGTTGCTGACCATGTCCATCCCTTTATGACCACAATGTACCCAACTTCTGATGGCTACTTTCAGCAGGATAATGCGCCATGTCATAAAGCTGGAATCATCTCAGACTGGTTTCTTGAACATGTCAATGAGTTCACTGTACTCAAATGGCCTCCACAGTCACCAGATCTCAATCCAATAGAGCATCTTTGGGATGTGGTGGAATGGGAGATTCGCATCATGGATGTGCAGCCGACAAATCTGCCGCAACTGTGTGATGCCACGATGTCAATATGGACCAAACTCCCTGAGGAATGCTTCCAGCACCTTGTTGAATCTATGCCACCAAGAATTGAGGCAGTTCTGAAGGCAAAAGGGGGTCCAACCCGTTACTAGCATGGAGTACCTAATAAAGTGACCGGTGAGTGTATTTTCATATGCTGATATCAAACTGATTTTTAAAAACGCGGTATCGATCTATTTTACTTTCAAAATCTCGTGAAATTTCATCGTTCTGTTACAAACTCTCGTGATATTTTGCTAATTCTTGTGAGATTTTGTTAGTAAAATAGATCGATACCGCGTCAATAAATCAACATATAAAAATATGGAAAAATTTCGTGAATTTTCGGGGGATTTCATAGCATAACGATGACATATAGCAATATTTCATTAGTAAAAGAGATTGATATGGTGTTTTTAAATGGCAATATATCAGCATATGAAGATATTGGGATATTTTAATGTATCAATATTTTTTCCCTTGTCTTTAGAAGTTTTTAAGTCTGTAAAAAAGAAGTTTTTGAGGAAGAAGAAGTAGTATTTTTTTTTTTTAGACTTTAGAAACTCAGAAGCTGATCAAATATCGGGTTAAATATCGGTGGGGTGGCCGATGTCCGATATTCAGTTTTAAGGCCGATACCGATAGGGGGCCGATTATATCGTGCATCCCTAATTATTTATGCTACGTTGGAGGATCTTTCTAGAAAGGACAGAATTATTATCAGATTCAACGGGCATGCTGTAGGCATTCCTAGCTTTTATAAAGTTCATATCAATATCAGAATTAAATCGGGTTGACCAAAATTGACGGATATATTGTGATATAAGTTCTGGCCATATCATCCAGCCCTAATAATAATAACAAACGATAGGATGAGTGTCTAAAATAATCTACTTTTAGCATCTTCTAAAATACTCTGTTTTGCACTAAGAGACCTTTTAACAGGCAGAATAAATGAATAACAGGACATGCAAATATTTACATGTAATAAAGTATTTGTTGGCAGTTTTTGTGATACTATCGTAGCTCAGAGATACTGCAATGATGAGATATTACTGAAATATCGTGCAGCCCTGATTGTTGGTTGTTGCTGAGGGGTTGTACCATTTGGTGCTCGGTATTTTTTAGGTTGGTACTGGGTTTGCGGCGCCATAAACAACGAGCCTTTTGTTTTACCCCGGACTGTTAGGAGGCAGAAGATGGATGGAAGTGTTAGTTGTATTGTGTCCTCCTTTGCGTGTTTGTGGGTGTGTGTGTGTGTGTGTGACTGTCTGGGAAGTAAAAGGGCAGCTTTCAGTGTCGTTTCATGTCAGACTGTGCAGGGTTGTGGTGACATGGAGGAAGGAAGACAGAGAACAATTTCTTTGTTTTCTGCTTTTGTTGGTGCTCTTTTCTGACTTCTGCTTTATTTTATTTTGTTGTCAAATTACACATTAAGGCTGCTTGCTGCAAATATGTTCCCTTTTTTTTATTCAGATATACGTATCCATTTGTCTTTGTCAAAATTAAAATTTCATTGTAAACAAGCTGCTTCTGAATCTTTCTAAGGATAAGAATTAAATCAATTGGGTTGAATCTGAGTTTAAAGTTTAAGGGCAACAAGGCACCTATTTAATTGAATTCCTGGAAATTCTACTATTTGTGGATGTTACCAGGATGGATTAGCATCCAGGGTTAAGTCCCTGAACCCTCGTTTCACCCCGGCTGTTTCTCTTGTGCATTTCCATTGCTGGGGTTAATTTAATATGAATTACACCCACGACATGCAAAGGGTCTCAGTCTGTGGGGGAGGGAAATGGAAAGGCTGTTGGTATGTGTGTGGTTGGGGGATAGTGATATTCTGCAATAAAACTATAACCAAAGTTTTGTGGCAGCTGTTGCTTTTTATGATGCCAGTGGTGTCGTTCCAAACAGTTTGAAAAGCTGCAACTGTTGCAAAGTGTTTTTGTAGAACAAGCTTTCATAGCACAGGCAAGAAGAGTTAAAAAATTGGTTTAATCTTTATTTCTAAAAGAAGTCTTCTGATTATTCTACACTTTGAAACTAAATATAATAACTTTTAAAGAGAAGGAAAAAATAGAACATTTAACCTCAGATTTGCTAAATAGAAGTTGGCCGATTTCTTTCATACTTGGTTGGTTAATGATTCCGATTTTTTATGTGTTTTAATCGTTTTACTTGCATTTCAGAATATTAATGCAGTAATACTTTTCATATAACAAAGGTTTGGAACATCTTTTTCCCCTACATCCCCATAAATGCTACAATACAGAATGAAGCAGAGTGATGAAATAGGGGACCCTATGTCCTCCAGATGTCTAAGCCTATAGCAGCATAACCATAGAGATAGCTCAAGAGTAATCAATAACTTGCGTCCCTTGAGTAAAGTAAGGATCCTTAACTATTCTTTCTACAGTGTATTGTTAAATGAGGAAGTTATGTTCCCTAAAAAGCTGTTGTGCCTCGGGGGCTCCCTCACTGTTCTTTTCCTGGGAGCAAGTTATTTACTACTCTTAACTCAAACTGGGTAAAAACATGTAAAAAGGACTATAAAAACAGGAGTAAAAAAGTAAAGTTTATTCCAGATCAGGTCGTTACAGGACAGAGAAAATGCTTGGAGTTTGCACAGCTGTGGGCTCAAAAATCACGTCTGAGAGCGTCCGGCAAAGATTGAGCCCTAAACAAGGTCATCTTCTCCTTCTTATAGCTCATGAGTCTATGTGTTGCATCAGGTGGATGCTTAGCTGTCCGTATCAGAAACTGACACGCCATCAATGCCCTGACCTATAAGCATCTTGCCTCTATTCCTCAGGGTTGCAGATAGCTCTTCTCTATCAGACCGGCTCCAAGATGTGCCCATATCCTGTGTATTTTTAAAGACACAAAGGCTGTCCTGATTAGATGACCTCCGTACACACAGTGACATCCACCATGTTAAGGAAGGCCTTCCACTCTGTCTAATCTGGCTAACAGAATAACAATTCACATGATGTATAAAGAATAAATCTAACCGTATACTTGTATTAAGGTACTGCATCACCCATGAACCAGCCCTTAGTTTTGGCTAAAGATGGTCTCATTTTACCATATACCAGATTTCCATGAATGTGAAGGTCGCCCATTGATGAAAAAGGCTGAAGAGCTACATAAAGAGCCTAAGCTCTCTCAAACACGCACTCATGGAAATAAAAAAGGCCATTGTCATCAAACAGATCTAAGCTGGCCTGAACTCCGCCTCTTTGATTAGCAATAATTACAAACAGTGTTTTGTTTTTTATTCCTCCTCTGTGGTCCACTTTTCACTCATCCTTTCTTATCCTGAATTCATTCATCGCCTTTCATGCTCCAAATGCTTCACATTACATCGCCTGTTTCACGGGAGGATCTGTACGTAGGAGTGAACATGTTTCAGTAAATGTCAGCAGTATCCCTGCTAAATAGCAGATTTAAATAGGCTATTTGAGTAAATTGGGTGCTTATGTGATTATTTGATTTGCATGGATTTTTAATTTGTTGGTGTGCTTCTTTCTGACGCATAAAACAGAGTTGATTACACAGTAAGACTGTAAATTGTGTCCATATCCCCTCTGGGAAATGGGTTGAGGTTAGATGGTTGTGTGTTTGGAAAAAGAAAGGAAAAACATAACAAGTAAATATAAAGGAATGTTCAAGGGCTTTTTAACTTCTTTACCAAACTTTTAGTCATTGTCATAAACTTATATTTCCCAACTTTTATTATGCTACAGCAATAGTCTTAAGTGAATTTTATTGAGATTTTGATTTGATGTGGGAGATAAAAACAAAAAGTAGCACAGTAAATATGAAGTGAAAAGAAAATGTTACATAACATTAAGCTTTAAGGGGAGAAGCTGCAGAGCTCAGCTGAGGAACTATTTGCAGTTCGCTGGAAGTTAAACATGTAAAAGGAGTTCTGATTGGATCAGGCCGAAATCTAACCCTTTGGCTTACATGGAAAATACTGCGTGGCAGAAAACTCACTCTGAACACAACCACAAACACTTTTTACCCACAGCAAGCCATAGAGGAGGCAGTGTCATGCTGTGGGGCAAAGGTTCAACTTTCTCCAGGGATAACGACAGAGATGGTGCTACCTTGGAATGGTTACGATCAAAGTCTAATCATGTGAGAAAGACCCAGTAAAGGTGTAATTGCAGGAAATGGAGATTCTACAAAATATTGAATCAACTGTTTGCCACAATTTACAGATTTGTAAAAAAATAAAAATTATAAAAAACCCAAAAGGTCTCCATTCCATTTTCTTTCCTCTTTACAATTATGCACTACTTTTTTAGTCTGTTGCATTAATCAAGTTTTTGTTTGAGGTTTGGAATGTAACAAACGATGAGCCATATTTTTGGAAAGCATTGTCATTTTATTAAACTGTAATCATTTCGAAGGAACTCAGTTCTACATACCTGGATATGGATCTGACTGCTTTGCTTTGTTCTTTAAAATGTTTACAATTCCCAATTTTTATGAACTGGCATATTATGATTAAATCAAACTGAGATTATTTTTATATAAAAACTCCCAAAACACAGATTAAGAATATACACAGTGTTTTTGATTGCTTGTTGAGATAAAGCCAGTATCCTAGAGAAACCCTCCCCAGGCCTAATAAGCGATCTCTAATATGACTCAGGTGAGGTGTCTCTAACTGAACTAAAAGCATTTCTATTGTTTCAGGTGGTGAAGACTGTGGGTCTGAGGGAGGTCTGGTTCTTCGGCCTGCAGTATACAGACAGCAAAGGCTACGTGACGTGGCTCAAACTTAACAAAAAGGTGAGAAACCCCTCCCAGATACTCTACATCTATCTATCTATCTATCTATCTATCTATCTATCTATCTATCTATCTATCTATCTATCTATCTATCTATCTATCTATCTATCTATCTATCTATCTATCTATCTATCTATCTATCTATCTATCTATCTATCTATCTATCTATCTATCTATCTATCTTTGGGTACCCTTATTAATCCTATTTTTTTTTTATTTCTAAATATTTGGGTGTTTGCAGCAGCTATTGCAGTTTGATACATAAAATAACTGATGGACACAGTAATATTTCAGTATTTAATTGAGGTTAATTGGAATAACAGAAAATGGGCAGTATGAATTAAAACAAAATTTGACAGGCCCAAAAATATTAGACCTCAGCAAAAAAGAGATATTAATATTAAGTAGATCCTCCTTTTGCAAAAAACAACAGCCTCTAGTTACTTCCTGCAGAAATAGCTTCCTGGATCCTGGATGAAGGGATTTTTGACCATTCTTCTTTGCCAAACAATTTCAGTTCAGTTAAGTTTGATGGTCTCCAAGCATGGACAGCCTGCTTCAAATCATCCCAGAGATGTTCAATGATATTCAGGTCTGGGGATTGGGATGGCCATTCCAGAACATTTTAATTGTTCCTCTGCATGAATGCCTGGGTAGATTTGGAGCAGTGTTTAGATCTTTGTCTTGCTGAAATATCCATCCCCGGCGTAACTTCAACTTTAATTCAGACGGTCCTTTAAATGCAAATGGCCTTTTAATGTAGGGGACCCCAAAGATGCTTTTTTATTAATGGAAAAACAGAAGGTAAAACTATGGAGGACCAACTCTGCCATATTTAAAAATAAATACAGAAATAAATAAATGCTCAATAAATAAATAAGCATACAGTTAATTGCCACCAAAAATTCAATAAACAAATTAATGTAGGTAGAAATTAAATTATACAGTGAGACATAAATGTATATAACTCTTTTAATTAGCTTCTTTATTTATTTGTCTTTGTAATATTTACCTCATTTTTTTTCTGTCCTTTATAATCTTCAACTTTATTTTTTAATTACTTATATTTTTAAGTATTTATTTATGTGAATGTTATGTTTTTGTCTGTTTTATTCTTCCTTTGTATTTTTTTACCCTAGATATTTCTTCGCCGCTATTTATTTCTGCCTGCCCTTTTTACATTTCTGTCTGCATTTCTGCCTCATTATGCAAATGAGGAGGGGGCGTGTCCTAGAGAGTCTGTTATAAACCCCATCCAACCCCGAAAACCCGGCAAGTGCCGGCAAGTAGAAAAAAAATAAAATAAATAAATAAAATAATAAAAAAAAGAAGGGGGGGGGGGGGTTAGCCCGAAATGAACACTTTACATTGAGACTTGTTTACTAGTAAGAAGGGAGATTTGTAAGTTTGTCAAAATAACTCAATAGAGGGTCCCATACTTTCTTCATGAGGTTTTAAGTGACCCCGGAAGCATCTTCAGATGTAAAAGTTATTTTATATCATTTGCTCTTAAATCTGATTTTAACTAAACTTTATACATGATGGAGTGGTATGAGTGAATAATAAAATGTCTGCCTGTTTTATTTAGGTGACCCAACAGGATGTTAAAAAGGAGAATCCTCTGCAGTTTAAGTTCAGAGCAAAGTTTTTCCCAGAAGATGTTTCTGAGGAGCTAATCCAGGAGATCACACAGAAACTCTTCTTCCTTCAGGTACTCAACAACTTGGTTCTTGTTCTCATATCGAGAAATACTGCACCATGAAGCAGCTTTAGTGTGGATATTAATATGAATTAGATTAGTTTAAACTAGATTGAATTGTAGGGATCTGTGACTGAGATCACTCAATCAGCATGAAGATATATGATTTATCCAAACAATTTTCTTCATTACTTGTAGATTAACTCAGTTTAATGTGTCGTCTCTGGGGGGAAGCAGAAATGGTGTTTGGGTCGACACAAACTGGGACACAGAAACCACAGAAATTTGCTCACTTGGATGACATCGCAGGACTATTAACTTCACCTTTCATAATTCACAAAAACTCAGTAAAGCCATAATGAGTTGGTCCAATCAAGACATTTGTCAATGATGGTTCTTAGACTCAACACTAGTCAAGCTAAGGTTGCAACACTTATTTGTTTGCCTTAAGTTGGCCAATTATATGGTGGTTTCTTCCCTGGCAAATATTTGAAATCGTGGCCAGTTTATTATGGTAGGCCGTGCAAATGATCAAATTAACTTGATTTGGTTTTTCACTAATGCTTTAAGTGTTTCACAAGATTTATGACTATGAACAAAAAGAGTGAAGTGAGAGTTTCTGGAGTTTGGCTGCACCTCCTCGGGTGTGTTTCTGCACTCAGCCTCAGGTTTCCTCCAAACAGTGAACAAAGCGAAGCCATGCAGCACAGCGGCCAATAGAGCGATACTGTTAAATTCAGAGTGCAACGTTTATAAAGCAGCTGGCTAATGAAATGTGAGTTTCACCCAACGATCATTTACTGGAACCTCTACAGACTTACATATAAAAGATTGACAAGTGTTCTGTAAGAAGGTCATTGCGCAGATTTATTATCTTAAAGCATTTAGTGTCAACTCTCACAAAAAACACTAAATAAGACAAAATAAGGAGTTAATCTCAAATGAATGTATGCGTTGGTTTTTGCTTTCTGTGTTTCCATCAGAAAGGCCTAATCTACTTTGTAAGCATCCCTTTAATTAAGGAGATCTCACTGGCATTGAAGAAGCATGAGTAATACAACAGCACCGTCTGCTGGATGAATACACACTCTCAGTTTGAGCCGTACAACAAATTTTGTTCATGTGGATCATTTTCCCATCTTTTTTATCGGTGCTTAAAGTGCCTGTAAAAATATCTGTGAAATGTGATAAATCACTGCTGTCATCACCAGCCTCATAAGAAAGGCCCCACCCACCCAATGACACATTGCTGTTAAAAATAATACAACTATCTCAGCACATGTGAATACTGTTTTCATTTGATCTCATATATATTTTTTATTCTGTGTTTATTATCTGCATCTTGCTCCTGTTCTGCAAAAATAAATTCACTGTTCTTCTCTATTCTCATAACATGTCTATAGAGCTAGCATTTGTTTATCCCATATTATACATGGAGTATCAGATGTATTCATGCCAACTGTAGGTTTATAGCACCATGTCACCAAAGAAAACTTGTATCTTAAAAAAAAAACACTATAAGGCAGGGGTCTTCAAGGATTTCCAGGCCAAGGACCCCAAACTGATGGCGAGATGGAGCAGGGACCCCCTAATTATACATATTTTATGAAATTGTGTTATATCAAACTAGTCCTATAGTCACTCTATTACAGATGGAGGAATGTAACGATTCTGATTCCTGGTTGATGGGACAGGTGTTGTGATTGAAACGGTGCCCAGCTTGAAAGAGCCGGGTGTCGCTGAATGTGTGCATTGATGACTGAAAGACATCTTCTGCCTCCATTTATCTGTTTACTACAGTGTGTTGAATTCATGTTAATGTGGATTTAAAGACATTTCAATTAGTGGAAAAAATTGCCGGTGGGAATAAAAAAGAAAAGTCTAATCAGCAAAAACTTTGGTAACCTCCATGCAGTACCTCTGTGGACCCCCTAGGGGGCGTGGACCTCCTTTTAAAGACCTCAGCTATAAGGCAATCAAGCTTTTTCTGATTTTGATTCCTTTTTGATCACGTGTGTCCTCTCCAAAGGTCAAAGAGGCCATTTTAAATGATGAGAACTACTGCCCTCCTGAAACAGCTGTCTTACTCGCCTCCTATGCTGTTCAAGCCAAGTATGGAGATTATAGCAAAGATGTCCATAAGTCTGGCTACCTGGCAAACGACCGGCTGCTTCCACAGAGGTAAAGGAGATAAAGATATAAACTTAAAAGCCTTTTTTAATATCTATAACCAGTAGTGATGTAAACGTATAATAAACTTAAGATTGTCTGTTAATGGTGTATTATTGGATTGCAATTAGTTTCATCTGATTAATTGATAACATCTGCTTAGAAGTTTTTTGGTGTTGTAATCTTCCTCCTTCAATTATACCTTTGTGAATTTTGTCTTACCATGAGTAATCCCCCCCCCCCCCCCCCCCCCCAGGCAAAAGTATTAGTGATTGGCCAAATCAATAACTTCTTACAAAATAAAAACTATTTATTTAATATTTTAATTTGGGCATTTCAATTCTGAGGCATTTTATGCTTTCCATCTCAAATAATAAAAACATTAATATGTTGCCTGGAAGTTAGTAAGTAGTCAAAATAAGTACAAAATAAAATCATTATATAAACTTGTATTTATAAAACTGGAGCTCATGTTGGCACAATTGGTTTGCTTTGGCTTAAGGTGATACATCTTCTGCATTTTTCAAAAGCAGTTCATTGTCATATGCAAGTCTCAAAATCCTAATCTTAGGTCAGAAAAAAAAATGTAAAGGGGTGCAAAGTGGTGGAAGAAGGCCTTTAAATTGTAGAAGGGGATTCATGGTAGCAGAATGCTGCAGATTATTTGCCTTTATCAGTTTTCCTACTCTTGGAATGTTTTCCAAACTCTAAATGAAATGAAAGTTTTCCTTTTTATTTATTCAAATCTTTGCGTTCTGTAGAGTTCTGGAACAACACAAGTTAACAAAGGAGCAGTGGGAGGACAGAATACAGACTTGGCACGAGGAGCACAGAGGAATGCTCAGGTGAGTGTCCCATATGAAAGGAAATTTTAATCGCAGATTTAGTCCTGTTTCAACTTTACTTTTCAAATGTAGTTAAAATTCCAATTTTATTTCTATAATTCAAAGGATTATGGCTGAAGTGCATTCCATCGCTGGCACTAAATCTGTATTAAACCAAAGGAGTATTTCTGGTGATTTGTGATCATTTTCAGAGAGGATGCAATGATGGAGTACCTGAAGATTGCTCAGGACCTGGAGATGTACGGCGTTAACTACTTTGAAATAAAAAACAAGAAGGGCACAGAGTTGTGGCTGGGCGTCGACGCGCTGGGGCTCAACATTTACGAGCACGAAGACAAGTAAAGCTCTAAACTCACACGCATGCAATAACTAGATTAAAGAACAGGTTAGGTAACCTTTGAAGGCAATTGGTAAATGACTGTGAGGTTTGTGGTTATAAACCTGGCAGAATGTGGAAAGCGTCGCTTTTTTGTACTTTTGTATGAAACTGAAAGCTGACTTCAAAGAGGAGAAAAGCGACCACAGCAGAAAAGCTTAAAACACTTAAATTTTTTTTTTATACGACAAACCCAAATTTATTCAACCCCCTTTCGAATTGTCTCCTTAGACTGTCGCCAAAGATCGGCTTCCCGTGGAGCGAGATTAGAAACATTTCCTTCAACGACAAGAAGTTTGTCATCAAACCCATTGATAAGAAAGCTCCAGTATGTCCTCTCTGTAGATTGGTACTTTTCTCTCTTTTGATAAACAAGAATCATTCAAGGTGTAACCCGTGCTTCCTTTAGGATTTCGTCTTCTATGCCCCTCGGTTGCGCATCAACAAGCGGATCCTGGCGTTGTGTATGGGAAACCACGAGTTGTACATGAGAAGAAGGAAGCCGGACACCATCGAGGTGCAGCAGATGAAGGCTCAGGCAAGGGAGGAGAAACACCTCAAACAGATGGAGAGGTACAGTTCAGGCAACCAATTGAGACCTTTAATACGTCTTAGAGCCCAGGTTCAACCTATCCTAATAGGTTGATTTGGTTTTGTTTAGTTTTTCATATGATCCCCTTGTGAACAGTAGGGGGCAGTGTTGCAGCAGAGGAAAAAAAAAATCCTAGTCATGCGCTGCTTTCAAGGATAATAAGAAAAGAACCATTTTAATTTTTTTTCCTCTCTCTGTGTGAAACTTAACATCTGCAAATGAGTAAATAGGTGATTTCATTTGCAACAACCCCATCTATAAACGCAATAACAATCATTTCTACTGGAACCACTAAGCAGACAACAAAATAAAATCTAAATAAGCCCTTTTTTTTCTTAAAATAGGTGCATTTTTTCTTGAACTCAGGAGGAAAGTGAGACATTTTGCCAATGAACAAGACAATTTCAACATTTCAAATAAGAAAAAACAAATGCATTGACTTAATTCAAGTGCATATTATCTTATTATCTTATTTTAAGTGTAAAAATACTCATTCTGTTGGCAAATCATCTTATTTAACTATTCAAATTAAGACGAAATACAATTAGTTTAAGAAATTTTTCTTATATCTAGGTTTTGCAGTGTAGGCTGAAATTTGGAAACCTTTGTTTCCCTTTTGGTATTTTTCCTTCCATCTTAAAACTTATCCAACACTGATTTAATGCTGCCGTTTTCCCCTTAAAATGTTAAAATTGTTTTATTTTTAAACTTGGTTTCCATAGTATTGTGTTTTATTCTTTGATTGAAAAATTCATTTAGAATACATTAGGTGTAATGGTTGACTTAGAATTTGCATAAAAAATGTAGCGCTTCACCTATTTATTATTAAAGTAATTGATTAATCTTTTAATTACTTTTTTAAATTATTTTGAAAAGATACTTTTAGTAAATAAAAATTTCTAAATAAAAAACAATGGTTTCTATTTTTAGTTCTGCCTTAATTAGTCCTGTAAGTAGACTATTCTTCTAACAAATGGCATGTTTTGCAGTTTGTTTACCGCTTTTCAGGGTAACAATTTGAAGGTAATTTCCGTAATCAATCACTGATTCACATCATTGATCAGATTATTCATTTCGGCGCCACAACCATGTGTGTTTTTAATGTGATTCTAACAGATAAATGGATGTTTATGCGGGTGTGATTATTTGTTTTTCTGTCAGGGCGCAGCTGGAGAATGAGAAGAAAAAGCGTGAGCTTGCAGAGAAGGAGAAGGAGCGGATTGAAAGAGAGAAGGCTGAGCTGATTGAGAGGCTGAGGCAGATCGAAGAGCAGACGCAAAGAGCTCAGAAAGGTGCGGCTATAACAAACACCTTCAATCTCCTCTACTGTCTTTTTTTCTTCTTGTCATGTGACGTCTTTTGCAAGTAGAAAACAAAAAACATTTCATTTGACGAACTGAGTCATGGTCTTCTAAATATATAAAGTAGATATTCGTTAAAAATAATAAAAGTGCTTCTATAAAAAATTCCTGAAAAACACTCTGAGAGTGAATGAAACACATTTTTGGTACAACATAACCTTAGAGGCATTAATGCTGTTACTGGCACTTACAGTTTTTAGTTTATAATCCTAAATATAATTGTTAACTAGGCTTATTCACTTTTTAACTTTTCAATTAGCTTTTTACCTTTTTTTTTCTTGACTTTTTTCAGCTTAATTTACAGTAGGTAAATATCATTCAAGGGCTCATCTAATTGGTCAAATGCCAAAAATAGATGTACAGCCATGTAGCAGCATGTTTGCTGAATAGCTGGATAGATCTTGTGCTTCTAGATCTCACTGAGGGACGGGGGTGGGGGGACTCCATTTGTAAGGGGCAAGTGATCAAAAACGGTGACTTGCCCTATAAGAAGTTAAAAATCATTAAAGCTGCAGTCTGTAACATTGAGAAGAGAGTAGACTTCGACTGAAAATTTGAAGAAAAACAGGTTTCACGCCACTCCCCCACCCTCTCTGCTTCACTCATGTCCAAGCTCCACCCCTCTCACAGCATCTGCGCGGCTACCGCATGCGACCAGAAGCGTCCAAGCAGCGTACGCGGCATGGAGTGTGAACCGGTAAGAGAGATAACACTCACCTCCAAGCAGCTAGATATAAGATGCTGGTTATACCAAAGTTTGCCGTGTAAGCAGTTGTCGGCAGGGGCAGTAAGGGCAGTTTCTCTTTCGCTGGTGGCTGTCGCTCCGCCATGACTTCCACGCGCGTCCTCCTGACTGCAGCAGCCGGAAGGCAGTGGCAGGTTCAGCGGTGAGAGGGAGGGGGATTCAGCGTGTGTGAGCTGTGATTGACACTCCATCAGACGCTCCTCTGGCTGTGATTGGTTGTTTTGACTCGTCCCGAAATATTCTTTCCAGATTGAAATACAGGCAGTAGGCGGGACCAATTGAAGCAGTTTTTTTTCACAGGTTACATATCACATGTACTGCTGTCTGGGCATAGGGACAGTTTTAGCCAATATGACAAAAAAGTGATTTTTAAAACTTACAGACTTCAGCTTTAAGTCATTAAATTATTTTGTTTTAAATTAAGGCCTTAAAGGGCATTAAAATTAATTAAATGTGATTATAGTGGTGTTAAAAATGCTTTATTTACAAAAAAAAAAAAAACAATTATAAAAACAATTTCGTCAGATATATTGTATCGCAAAATATATTTGCGCAGAATTGCTTCCGGTTTATCGTATAGCCGTATGTTCGGAAAGAAGCTTGAGGCAGAGAAAAGGCTAGAGCAGAGGTCATAGATTAGCGGACCGGGGTCTGGATCCACCTGCTGGCTAATCTGGACCCAACCATGGGAAAGAAGTGGAAGACGATGAGAAAAAGAAAGCAGAATGCTAAAAAAGCTGCGGCGAACTGGTGGCAGAAAAGTGCTCAAGGTGACCCTGTATATTTTGATTATGTTTGGCTCAACCTGCTGCTGTGAAGCAGGATTCTCCACCATGAACATAAACAAAGATACATCTCCAGGTTCATGAGGCTTTCTGTATATATATATTATTTTAAAGTCAATGTAAAACTTGGATGCATAAACAGCATTTTATTCCAGTCTTAAATGCCGTCTACAGTAATGGATTATAATTAAAAATGTCTCCGGACCTTTACTGGTTATTGATATTCTTTATTCTGACCCCGCTGATTTTCAGTTGGTTACCCCTGAGCTAGAGAACAGGGGAAAGGGCTAATTCAACACAAGTGGTTGGAAAACGAGGAATTCGGGACATGGCTACAGCCTGTCCACGGTAAGATGAAGATTTTGAGAAAGGAGGTGTCGATGGGTTTGAACTTATCTTTACGTTCATTTCACCCACTGAACTATCGTTATTCATCTATGACAATGGAAACTCTGCTTTGCATTCTATGACCCCTTTAACAGCAGGCTTTTTAGCTTAGAGTTTTACCTTGTCTTTAATCTTGTATTTTGTCTGTACTTATTTATTGTACAGTTTATAAGGGGGTCTTATAAATCCATTTTCTATGTTGGATGGCCATGAGGTAATGTTTGTTATTATGGAAAGCACATTTTACTACATTAATCATATAAAAAGCCCTTAATAAATAAATAAAGTTTGACTTAATTTGATTTGTTATGATAAAGGCAGTGTTTTCCAAAGTTTGGGACACAGAACAGAAAAGGATCGACCTCCTCAACTGATAGCAGCTAGTTGGCTGATGTACAGGTTGTGAAGGTGAGATTACATGTGTTTGAAGATGACAGTTAAATTGAGGTTAAGGCTGATTTATACTTCGAAACTAGGTAGTCTGCGTAGGTGTGGCAGTTAACGCAGAAATGCCCCCGCCCCTTCCACAGACAGACGCTGCACCTCTCCCAAATTGTAGGTGACTGCAGAGAGGAGGCCTCTGATTGGTCAAATCTACATCCGCTCTACTCTATGCGTATCTCCTGTTTGGTATCTTACCGGCTTGTTTTGTTTGTATGACCACCATTGTGGAAAACGTCACGTGAAGATGGACCAGCTAGAAGAGCGAGGTGCGTGAGAACGCTGGGACCCTTTTTCCACTCGGATCCCCGCTCTTTTTCACCCTCATGTCCCTCTGTTGTCTGACAAACTTGCCCCCATAACCTCACCACCTCGGCCATATCTAGATCCAAAACTAGTTGGGGATTTTCTCCTCTTTCGTTGTGGCATGGAATAACATAGTGCAGACTAGGACTGGGCGATAATTCCATAACGATATATATCGATCGATAGACGTGTGGCGCAATAGAAAAAAAGGGAGTCGATAAAAGTTCGATAAAAAAACGCAGTTTTCCTTCCTTCTCATTGTAGCCTATCATGTAGGTTTATGCTAGTCACTGCTTCCTCCCAACCAATCGCAATCACGGACCCAGGCACGCCGTCACAAAGCGCCGCCCTCTCAAACCACAACACAGAGCACATGAAGATGTCGCAGCAAGGAGAGGCGGAGGAAATAGTTCCAAAGAAGGGTTTTTGTAGTTCGCCAGTTTGGCAGTATTTCGGTCATGGCAAGTCGGACAAAAAACAAACCACAGTCATCTGTAAAATGTGTCGGGAACCAGTGAAAACCAAGTCTGATAACACAACCAACTTTTTTTTTTTTTTAATCATCTCAGCCGCTCACACCTGCAGGAGTACGAGCTGTGTAGGCCCCGGCGCACATCTGCATCGTCCTCCGAGGAATCTTCAGGAATTTTGGGGGGGAAAGAAAAATGTATATAAAAAAATACATATATATATATATATATATATACATTCAGTTCTGGGCAGTTTCCCACGTAGTTCTAACAACTGAGAGGAAAAAATGCTGAGGGGCCAGGAACTTCAAAGTAATAACTCGGGTTAAAGCAGGAAACTCAGCTGAACCATAACGAGGTGCCAGCAGCACCTATAGAAGAATATGGGTGAGAAAAAATACCCCATAGAAATGCTAGACTAAAGGGTGAGTTGATTTGGGTTTTTGTTCTTGTTGAGTGGAGTTTACATGGTAACCTACTGTAGTCCTACAATCTTTTAATTACCACAAGCTGATGGTGTACTATTCCCTCCCATATAGGGTATTTATGTATTTGTTATATTTATTTTGGTCACTTTTCTGGTCAATTTAGTTTATTCTTTGTCAGTATTTAATAACATAACTCAGGTCTTTTAAGTTATTTTTCTTTAAAACAATTCTGTTATGGTTAAAAAAGTTGGTTAAATAAATATTTAATTGGAAGTCTGTGTTTGTGTTTTTTATTAAAATTAAATCATTTAGCAATATTATAAAATGTCCAGGCAGAGCTGCACATAAAATATGGTTTCAAATCTTTTCAATAATTATCGATATCGATCAATATGCATTTTTTTTTATCGATAAGCTTTTTTCTATATTGTCCAGCGCTAGTGCAGACGACGCTTCGATATTGAGCATGAATCAAAAATGTGTGCGTCATACCTGCGTCACACTGCTGTGGGAGGATAACCAGCCCTGGCTGCTTAAACGCTTATTAGCTAAAGAAATTCTATAATGTATATGGAATACATGTAATGAATTGGATGAATAGACTCCTGGATGGCTTAAATGTCTCTTCTTGCCAGTAAGAAAACAGCCAGCATGATAAACATGCTAAGGGTGTGGTAGAGATGTTTGCCGAATGCCATCAGTAATTGCTTCACTGTAATTTGTTTGCTTCATTCTCTCCAAGTCATGCCTGAACAAAACTGGCTCAAATTGGCCTATTTGCTTTTGTGTTATTTGTTTCTCTTTCCCTCTGTTAACATGCAAATCTGACATTCATTGATCGCTGATAGCACAGAGAGATGTCCTCTCCTGAAATATGAATTCAAACAGCTTTCTGAACAAAGCTAGTATGTTGAACTGTGATTTGTGCATATCTCTCTGCAGAACTGGAGGCACAGACCCGTCGGGCCTTGGAGTTAGAGCAGGAACGAAAGCGAGCGAAGGAAGAAGCCGAGCGGCTTGAGAGGGAGAGGCAGGCGGCAGAAGAGGCCAAGGCAGCGTTAGCTCAGCAGGCAGCCGACCAAATGAAGACCCAGGAACAGCTGGTATCTGTTCCCACACAACCAAAGACCTTTTTCCCAGCAGCATCATCTATATATGTTGACATTTGTTTATCAGTTTAGCAATATCGTGAAATGATTGAGTATAATAATAATAATTCTCTGTTGCGTTGACAGCCTAATGATTTCAATAATTGCTTATATATAATTGGTTATATTCTTAATGGTATGTTTTTCTTCATACAGGCTGCTGAGTTAGCAGAGTTTACAGCCAAAATCGCTTTACTTGAGGAGGCGAAAAGGAAAAAGGAGGAGGAAGCATCAGAGTGGCAACACAAAGTATTAAAACATGTCTTTTCTTGGGACTAGTTTGGTGGTTCCTTAGGATTGCCCTTAACTATTAGTGCAAATTTCCCTTATAGTGTTCACAATGTTGCATAATCAGTGTTAGCCTAAGGTGAGATGCCAATAGTTATCATATATTCAAATTATTTAATTAAGGTTAGCTCCAAACCCCACTGGAATGTACAAAAACATCTATCCTAGATTCCTTTTTTTATGTATATTTTTTTTCTCTAGGCCATTTCGGCACAAGAAGACCTGGAAAAGACAAAGGAAGAGCTAAAGACGGCCATATCCTCTCCACCAGCGCCTGAACACGACGAGCACGATGAAACCAACGCAGAGGAAAGCGTCGAGCTGCCAAGCGACGGCGGCAGCAGCCACCGCAGCGAAGTGGAACGCATCACTGAGGCGCAGAAGAACGACCGCGTGAAGAAACAGCTCCAGGTAGACGAATAGATGGTAGTTAAGAAAAAAAAGAAACATCTGTAAGTTTTGATAAGGTTTAGGGAACTCCAATCTTACCTCAAAACTAAATATATTTTATGTGATTACAGAGTTGCAGATAATTGTGATCAAAAACAATATTTTTTTGTTGCTCCCCTAAAAAAAAGTTGACAGACTGTTCTGAACCTGGTCGCCCCACCCCTGCTTTTAAAACTAACTCTATCTTGCGAAAGGGCAGTAGCGCATTTGTTCAACCTCCCTGCAAGCGCTCATGATGAACCAATGATAAATGATGAAATGGGTTTCAAAACATGTTTCTGTGAACGTAACATTCTTTAAAAGTCCTTTTATTGGCCTAATTTTTGTGTAGTTTTGACAACTTTCACAGGGTTCCCGCGGGTCCTTAAAAAGTCTTAAAAGGCATTGAATTCTTCAAAATAAAATTAAGGCCTTAATTGGTATTAAAATGTCTTAAATCAGTCTTTCATAGGTCTTAATTTTTAAAACATCATAAATAGGATTATTTTTATTACGATTTATTTTTACAATCTAAATAAAACATTAAAATTGACATTAAAAAAAAAAAAAAAAAAAAAAAACGGCTCGCCATTATTGGTTCCGTCCCGATAGCGGAACCAATAAAAGCGTTGTTGCGGCCAGGACATTTGGGAGATGCGCCATTAACATTTTCTTTGGAAAATATGAGCAAGTGTAAATGTAATGATAATTGGCTCCAGCCAAGAGTTTTCTCCAAGGCTAAAACCAGTAACAGAGGACATATATGAGGCTCAGTGGATTTTGTGCAAGAAGCGATTCAAGCTCAGAACGATGGGAATTAAGGCAGTGGAGTCGCACATGCGAAGCGCGAAACACAATGCGTCAAAATCGAGTTACCGAGAAACAGCCGGTATTTGTAGGTTTTGTTCCACCCTTGTCTCTGCAGGCCTCCACTTATCACCAAATCAAACATACTAAGAAAACGATACGAAGAAAAATAGCTGAAAAAAAGACTTAGCACTGGTTATGTTGTGGCTTTAAAACTAATTTGTTTTGTTCCCTGCTAAAACAAAGTTTATGAATTCAGTTAAATAATTGTTAAAATATATCTGTCATTTGTGTGTTTTTAGCTTTCTTCCTGTATGGGAAGCTTTTCAACATTTGAAACATTAGTGCAGTGGTTTATATTAAAATAAACCTTTGGGTTTAAGCGGGTTTTTCTTGTGTTTCTTGTGAATTTGGTCTTAAATTTTTATTTCAAGTGGCATTAAAAAGTCTTAAAAAGTCTTGAATTTAACTTTCCTTATGCTGTAGGAACCCTGTTTCAGCATAACCAGTGTTTGTGCTGAAATTTGCTGGAAAGATCCCTGGGGGAGGGAGTTCAGATGTCAGTCAAAGGGCTGATGCACGAAACAAGAAGCTTGAATTGTACTGTAGCGGTGACATATTTGAGTGTGCGGCCCGCTGCATTGAAATAATGGCTATTTCTCAATTTGCAAGAACGTGAGTACGGACCTGTGTCCTCACCAAGTATGTTCATGAGAAGAACACAGGAAAGTGTGGACTTGGGGAGAACGTATAAATATGGGTCAATAGGTACAGATGCGTACTCGTGACATCACCACATGCTCAGCTCGTCTAGAGCTGCATTTCTCCTCCTGTTATTAATGGTCTCTAAATAATAATAATAATAATAAATTATGACTTTTGTGTTAGTCACATTATTGTTATCGTTTTCTTTCATTAATCTCTAGATGTTGTAATCTGACTGGAATATGCATGTTTGCCTACTCCTGCTTTCTAAGTTCCCCTACCTGCAAATTTGCTTTGGTTTTATTTTTCTGCAGAAGTTCAATAAAAACTCTTTATAGATCATTTTAGATCAGCCATTTTATCGCTGCGTAGATGATATAGGCTAAATAAGAGAAACAACTGTTGTTATTTGATTTTACATCTTATCGGATTATTAAAATTGCGTTTAATTTTTTTTAATTTCTTTCACACAAATGTAGAGTTTGTAGCCAGTGTCTAAATAACTGTGTTTAACTATATAGATTTTTTTTTTACCTGTGTGTAAAGTCTTTTTTTTTTTTTTTTTTCTTTATGTTAGGAGCAAATGCTCATTGTGTTTGTGTGAGGGAAAGGTAGAAATTAACATCGGGAATTACTGGGTTAACATTTTGACCTATAAGTGGCATCTTGTGCAAGGTAGAATAGTGCTTAGCAAGTATGAGCATCAGTTTCTTGGCTCATTCATTAGAGTTTTTTTTTTTTTTTAAGTTGATTTCCAAAACAATAAATCAGTCTTTTGGTTGTATCCTTTTTGGCGCGTTTATAAATAGTAATCTGTAAAAGGATGTGGGCTTGTTCTCATCTTTGAGGAATTTTAGGCTGAATAACAAAGTACCAAAGACCCTTTCCTTTGTGAAATTGCATTTCTTGCACCATTTCTCCCTCTCTCAAAGATTTTAAACAACCTTTTTGGTTCTAGAGATGACCCAGTCCTTATGCTGTAAAGCATCCCCTCTAAAGAGTGTTTGAGATGGTAAAAAATTGCATTCCTTGATCAGTTGTTATTCATTTAAATTTAAAGTTTCCATATTTTTGGAAGGCATGAATACCTTTTGTAAATGGAAATGATAAAAAAAACATTCAATCCGGAAACTAAGATTTGGGAAAGCTTTATTTGTGATTAAAAGTATTGTGGAGGATTTTTGCGAATTCTTAAAAAGACCCACCCTCTACACAAAACGCATGTGCAAGAGCATGCACAATCCTATTTCTCCTTGTGCGCTTCTACTCAAAAGTTTCTGTTCTCATAGCTCATGCACGCTTACTGTGCCCCAACGTCCGTCCTAACTCCCTAAATCCCTCAATCACTATAAAGGGACTTTATAGTGAACTCAATTAACCGACCGTTTGGACAGAAGATCACTGCTTTTTGCTCCGTTGGTCAGGTAACTCCTCCTCCACCGCGCTGTGCCTGTCCCATCTTTATGAATCGTGAGTCGGGTAGTGACTGTGAAAGCAAAATCCCATAATGCGTTGTGAGGAGAGATCTCCGCGCAAAGCATTCTGGGATATATTTTCACCTTCTCTGAGACCTTTATTTTCTTCCAAACACTTTGTAGACACTTTTTCACTTACGACCCTGGGCCATTTTCAAAGAACCGCGGTGAGAAAGGTGAGCTTCAAAGACTGCCTGAAACCGTAGCTCACCACAGACATACGCCTGATAGTGAGCAGAAAAGATAGCTAACGGGACGAGCACATAGGACGGCCTTACGGAAACATATCAGCAGAATGATTCTCAATTAGGAGGACCACCTATTTAGACGATCCACCAGGAAATAAAAGATCCTCCTCTATACCTTTAATGGTTTCTTTTCTGGATTGCTTTTTTTTTTTATGTCCATTTACAGAACAGAACAAAATCCTCTGACTCTGTTATTTTTGTCTTGAATCTAATTTTCTTAAAATGTGTCTTCCCTCCAGGCTCTGACCTCAGAGTTGGCGGAAGCTCGAGACGATACCAAGAAAACGCAGAACGACATGCTCCACGCCGAGAACGTCAGGGCAGGAAGAGACAAGTACAAAACCTTGCGACAGATCCGCCAGGGCAACACTAAGCAGCGCATCGATGAGTTCGAGTCCATGTGAAGCGCCGACAACAGCAGACAGATAAAAGCTGAAAAGAGACGGTTTGTCTCATTGCCATGTCAGCGCCTCACTTTACTTCTAAAAGCCCAAAACCTGCTTACCACTTCAGGGCTGTTTTTTTTTTTTTCCTTCTGTTCAGGAGGAAGAGCAGCTGTGAGGCTTTTTGCAAGTTCAGCCTCATTAAGGCTCTGCCTGCAAGCAGCTGGCCTATTGCACTCCTTTCTGCTATCAGGGCTCCGCCCTCAACCTAACAAAGCAGTTTTTTTTTTTTTTATTGAGCTGAAAAAAAATTGCAATCAGCAGATGTCCTTTCCCTGTACATCTATGGCTACTATAACGCCTGCATGTGTTGTAACGGAATAATAACAAGAAGCCCTGAGAAAACTTGAGACTGGACTGATATGGATGTGCTTTTACTAAAATAGAAAATAAAAAGGCCATTTGTAGCTGTAGCTCGATAAAAATGGTGGTACGCTTTAATATATGTACTTTTATTTTTGTCTTCAACTTTACATGTATTTCGTTTTCCTTTTTTTATCGCCTTATTTGACCCTTTTTTCTTCTCTTCCATCTCAATTATATGTTTCACTTGTCTGTTATTGTTGCAAAATTGTATTTGTGAATCAGTTTGCAAAGGTCAATAATATGCAAACAAGATTAGCTTATTTTGCATTTTTGTCATTTGTGTTCATTTTGAAATTTGTTTAAAAGTGTATTTTGCCCCATAATAAAGAATGGCTTTATATTTCCAATTATGCAGCAAGAGTATGGTCTTAAACTGAAGTCGGAGCTTATAGAGCAACTTTTTTGTTGGGGTTAAAGCATGATATGGCAGAAACGCATGTTTTTGATGAGCAGAAATCTCAAACATTTTAGCTTGGATTAGCTGCTTTAAGCCAGTTTGCATTTTATGTTATCAAAAAAGTTCAACATGGTCAAATATAACACAGATATGGTACGTTGTGATTATTATTTTTTTTTTAATAAAGTGAGAAATTATTAATGGTTACATATTTTCTTTATATTACCATTTGTTCCCCAGCAGAGAAAATATAATACTTTACTTAAAGAGTTGTGTATAAGTCTGGCATTACGCTCTAGTATGAATGTTTATTCATTCAGCAAATTATGACACTTTTAATGCAAAATTATGACAAATTGACATTAACAGAACCAAAAAAAATTTTATGATCACATGGAATTGACCAAGAAATCATAACCCATCATAAATATATCAGAACAGGTCCAATAATAAACCTTTAAAAAGTGATTTAGATTACATGTTAACATGACTTTACACTGTCATGTCAATGTTTTCCCTTTCCTCAAGTAAAGTTAATCAAGAACTAGTTGCAATTATGTAATTTAGTATTTCAGACTTGCTTAATGTAAAGCCATAAGACATTTTAAACAATAACTTTCCAATTAAAGCGTCAGCTCTCCAAATGACACTCAATGACCACAGTCAAACATTTGTAGACTCCATCTTTATAACAGGTGTTGCATTACATTTATGACAGTGTAATGTTAGTTTTATGCGTACCTCCTTAACTACAGTGTTACTGATAAAATGTATGCTTTGTTCTGTAAATCAAAAACTTCACACTTCATTCAGATTTTTTTTTTTTTTTACCAAATTCAAGTTTATTGTGAAATTTAAATTCATTAAAGAAATCTATATCTGCATAAATGTTCTACCTCAAAATGAACAAAAAAAAAAAAAAAAAAAAATGTCTCTTGTAGAAAGAAGTTTCCTTTTTTATTTTTCAATAAGATGCAATGCTAAAATTCACTGAACAAACTCGACCAAACTTGTTAAAGTTTCAGTAAGGCTTTATGGGTCATGGTTAAGTCACATACACAAACAGCCTAATTTCCCAGAATCCATGTAAAAAAAACACATAACATGCACAATAATATTTCAAGCTTTAAAGGCTTTCAAGTTATTTGTTTTTGTCAATGACAAAACTGCATTAATTCAAATAAGATAAATCGAGCTTCAGCACTAAAGGTCATTTTGGGAAACATTACTTTTTTAAAAATGGGTATCCTTTTGGGCTGCACCGATTTTAAATTGCAACACTTTCAGATTTAATGTAGCATAACTGAATTATTTGTTTCTCATTACATTATTCTTTGTAGGAGCTATAAAACTTTTATATTATCTAACTTTATTGATCACAAACATTATCAGTTGCCACAGTAAATGCTTTTGTAGTATTCAGACAAAGCACCGGCACATCTTTTGCTATAAAAGCAGGGTTGTTGGTATTTGAACAATGGTAAATATATAAATCTTCCCTTTGAATTTATTTTGGTTTAATTTAAACACCTTTAGTCTGAGCATGAAGAAACACTTGAAAGCTGTAACCTATGTATTTATTTGGCTTGTGCTCCAAAAAATGTAAGCCCTCACTTATTTCCGCTGCAGAAAAAGTCTTGTTGAAGCAGGTTTGAAGTGGTTGTTTGACAAAAAACTGACAGCTGGCAAATACATACAACTATAAAAGACAATGTAGAAAATCACATTTGAGAAAGATTGACAGCCTACTGAGGGTAAAGATCAGTATGAACTCCCAGCCATGTGTGCTTTCTCCACAGAAAACCAACTATAAAGGATTGGAACTGTGGGAAAAAAAACAACTCCAAGCTGATATTTGATAAAAGATGATGATGCAAAGAAGCTTAAAGATCCTATTTTTTTCTACTTTTAAATTCTCATTTGGATCAACAGTACAAAATATCATTGCTTGACCAGGAATTAACTACCTTTTCAACAAACCTTCAAATAAGTTTTTTTTTTTTTCTGTAAAATGTGAACTCCATATTTATTCGTATTTGTATTTTGCTTAACTTTAATTTAACTTAATACTTGTTTGTTGCTTAATTTTAACTTATTTTAACTTCATACTTTTTTGCCCTGTAAGCTGCTGGTAACCATAATTTCCGGAGGGAGTCTTTCCAAGGGATCAATAAAATACTAAGTCTAAGTAGATAATCAGCAGGACCCTGCAGAGCTAAATGACATTGTAATGAAATTGAAGCAATGTATTGATTTCACCAGGTATATATCTGACAGCTCCAGAACAATCTGGCTCTTGATGACTTTGACTTTACCTCCATGTTTTGTTAAATCTGGGAGCACGTTTCTCATGTTACTCTGAAATATTAAGGTCTCTTCAATGGTAGGTGTTTAGCTTCATGCTTGCTTCACATCCCTTCCACTGTCCAGAACCTCTCACAGGCGGTAGAGTCTGCTCTGATCGAATCCCCTTTTAATTCAGGCCAGAAATTCATAATGCAAGCATTTAGTCGGGTAGCTAATCCTCATCTAGTCTAGGATAGAAAATTTAAAGGTATAGAGAACGATCTTTAATTTCTGAGTGAATCATTTAAGTAATTTGTCCTCCTAATCGTCAATCATTCTGGTGATACGTGAGGCCGTCTTATGTGCTCGTCCCATTAGCTATCTTTTTCTGCACATTTTCAGGCGTATGTCTGAAAAACTGTCTACGTGTATGAGAAGAAAAGAAAGGCCTCAGAAGAGGCAGGTGTATCCCAGATTTGCTGTCACAACCGCCTGCTGTTGCTACCCAACAGCGGCGACTGCAAACAAAGATGGTGCAGGCACTGTGTAGAGGAGGAGGAGTTATGTGACCAACAGAGCAAAAAGCAGTGATCATCTGTCCAAATGGTCAGTTAATGGAGTTCACTATATAGTTCCTCCTCTATATACTGATTGAGGGATTTAGGGGTTAAAGCGGACGTACGGACACAGTAAGCTTGCATGAGCTATGAGAATAGCAACATTTAAGCAGAGCGTGCATGAGGAGAAATGGGTTCGTGCACGCCCTCGCACACGTGGGCTGGTTATCCTCCCGCAGCAGTGTGTCGCAGTGAGCTTGTCACAGATATTTTTGACTTTTTGACTAATTTAAAGCGCGGCCTGCGCCATGTTATTCCACACCACAATGCAAGATGGACAATCAGGAACTAACTGTGGGTCTAGATACGGCCGAGGCGGTGAGGAAGTGGGGGTTTGTGCGACAACGGCGGGACACGAGGGCGAAAAAGAGCGGGGATCTAGGTGGAAAAACGATCCCAGCATTCTCGCACACCTCGCTCTTCTAGCTGGTCCATCTTCACGAGTTTTTTTCCACCAAACAGGAAGAACGCATAGTGTAGAGCAGATCAATCAGAGGTCTCCTGTCTGTGTTCACCTACAATTTTGGAGAGGTGCAGCATAGTGTCTACAGAAGGCGGGGGGCACATCTGCATAAACTGCGACACACACGCAGACGACCTAGTTTCTGACTATAAACCAGCCTTTAGTGTTCCCTCTGGGAGCAGGTACAGGGTTGTGCATGTGCATTTTTTTTTAAAGTTGAGAGGGCAGGTCTTTTCTAAAATTCATGAAAATCTTCCCCTACACCTTTAATTAATGTTGGTTAATTAATCTCAGTCCTCTTCTTTTTTGGTTTATTTAAATGTACGGTATTATTTAGTCATTTATCCTATTATGCTGACTGACTTCATTCACGCCTGTCTAGTATTTTAGGACAGAAAACTTCCTTACTGAAAAACTGACAACAGTGCCATTTAAGCAACTAGTTAAGTTTATTTCACAGAGTAACTGATATTCTTTGTTAATTTTTGAAACTAAATGAAGAAATTATAAATTTGTTTGCAACAGAAATTGACAGTTAATCCAGCTGTCACTTCAAAATAAAAGTACATATCTTCCTATTCGGTTTTATTTTTTTCTTCTTGACATGTATATGTTGATATGATCCTAAATAATTGAACGAGTTTAGCTTTGTAGGTTTAATGTGGAGAAAGCAACTTTTTTCACTGTTAACCTGCAACCTTGGTGCATATATTAAACCAAAATCCTGTTTATTCAATAGAAAAACATCTGTTTCAGTGATGTTTCAGTGAAGTACAAAAATAGAAATGCCAAAAACCTGATTTTCTTTTTTACTCAAAAGTACAGTAAGTTACAATTGACTAGTTTACAAACATGAGCTACACTTATGTTAGCCAATAATTCAAAATTCGATTTGTTTCAAGTTTAATCTGTAATTACTTGGTAAAGTAAAGCTTTTGGTGAAATCTTTAACCAGTCTTCAGTTAGCACAAGTAGAATCATTTGTTTTTATATCAAGCATCAGCTACACTAACAAAATGTATTCTGCAGGTAAAAGGCAGTAGAAAAATAGGTTTCTAGAAAGTCTTATGATTATAAAAAAATAACTTTGCTGCACATCAGAACATTTTTTACCGGTTAACA